ATTCCTAGATTCTCTTTATCATTACATCCGGATTGATGTCGTGTGGTTTTTTTATCTCTTTCTCTCACACTATTCTCCCCCCCCCCCCCCCCAGTGTTTCTTTGAATCCTTTTCCTATTTGAAAGTTTTCATATTAAAGTTTTTAAAAGTATTTAGTCTTGAGAGGACCTTGTTTCTCGAGTATCTAGAGAACTGTGACCGGGAAAATTCTGAAATTTTCTGAGATGATGTATCTAGACGATTGCGTACATTCCCATGTAACGACGTATACTAGAATTTATAGAATAGTGTGGGTGAAAGTTTTAAAACGACCGCACGACATCAATCCGAGGATGGATAAATATTCATACCAATGTTTTAGACTCGTGTTAGAATAATATCGAGACCAATGCTGAGTCCTTTTTTCGGTAACCATATGTTGTCTAATGCTGAAAATGGCAACCTATGTAGTGCGCACTGGATATGCACCAGTCCAGTCCGACTGGTACCCAGTCATGATTGGGTCATCAACCATCTGATCCTTAGTTTATTAAATGAATAATACTTCCCTCTTTTTTGTCACATTATAATAAACTGATATGAACCTATTAAAGACCTAATACGAGCTATATTATAACATTAATTGATTATTCTTGTGTTACTCTGTGTCAACTGTGCTCACATATGGTATCTATATACTAATATCGAGTGTCACGTCTGGTTCCTCTCCAATTGGTCAATTTTATTAGCCAATCAGAATTCAGGTTAAAGGCCATAAGGCTATCCTATGGACGTACCCATGGGTCCTCACGGGCTATTATATGGTGGTACCCATAATTCCTCAAAGCCTATACTATGGGGTACTCATGGGTCCTCAAGGGCTATTATATGGGGGTATCCCTAAGTCCTCAAGGCCTATACTGTGGGGGTACCCATGGGTTCTCAAGGCCTATAGTATGGGGGTATCTATGGCTCCTCAAAGCCTCTACTATGGGGTACCCATGGGTCCGCAAGGCCTATACTGTGGGGTACCCATGGGTCCTCAATGGCTATTATATGGGGGTACCTATAAGTCCTCAAGCCCTATAGTATGGGGGTACCCTTAGATCCTCAAGGGCTATTATATGGAAGTACCTATGGGTCCTCAAGAGCTATTATATGGTGGTACCCATAAGTCCTCAAGGCCTATACAACTGGGGTACCCATGGGTCCTCAAGGGCTATTATATGGGGGTACCTATAAGTCATCAAGGCCTATACTATGGGAGTACCCATGGATCCTCAAGGACTATTATATGGGGTAACCATAAGTCCTCAACGTCTAACCTATGGAAGTACTCATGGATTCTTCAGGGCTATTATATCGGGGTACCCATAGGTCCTCAAGGGCTATTATATAGGGGTACCCATAGGTCCTCAAGGGCTATTATATAGGGGTACCCCCATGGGTCTTGAACAGCTATCCTATGAGGGTACCGATAAGTCCTCCGGGCTTATCATATGAAAGACGGACCCATTAGTGGCCAAAGCCTATGCTATAGACACACTCATATGCCCTCAAGAGCTTGGAACGGGTAAGTAGATCAGCTTCCATGGAATCTAGCTGTCATACATGTACTATTGGGAACGTCTATATGATGGCTCTTGATGACTTATGCGTACCCCATAGGATCAGCCATGAGGACTTATGGGTACGCCTAGGATAGCCATTGAGAACTTAGGGGTACTCTAATAACATAGGCGTTGAAGGCTTATAGATACCTCGGTAGTATAGATTTTTAAGAGCTGTGGATACCCCAAGGGGGAAAAGCAGATTTTAAGATTTTAAAAGATTTTAAAAGATTTTAAAAGATTTTGAGAGATTTTACAGATTTTGAAAGAGTTGAAAGATTTTAAGATTTCAAGAAGGTGGACTATTTTATTGAATGGCACTTAACTAAAATAGGAGTGGAAAGCTACCATGATCGAGTAACTGGTAACGGTGCTCTTGGGGCCATAAGTCCTACTTTAGGAGCGTACCCTTGGCTCCTGAAGTACTATTATGGGAGGTACGCTTGAGTCCTCAAGTTCTATACTAGGGAGGGAGGTACGATTGAGTCCCTACGTTTATACTTGGGGGTGCCTCGGCGTTCTCAAGTACTGTAAGAGCGGCATAGCCACGCGTTATGGAGTTTCATTTTTTTACATTGCAACACTTATATCTTATCAGAGATAAAGGCAAATTCCCTGAAGTTTTTATAATACATAGAGACCATTTGGATCTATTACTAATAAAAATTTTATCGATTTATATGCACGCAAGGGTGAGCTATTAAAAATATTCTGACCGTTGCGCAATTTCAAAAAATGGAAATTTTTTTAGAGTAAGTAGAGAGACAAGTATTTTACTGCGCAAGGAAGTGACATACAACTAAAAGCTATGTATACAAATCGTTCAGTTTTCTACAAGCTTTCAGAATATTGGTTCATTTCTGAACAGAGTATAATTACATCAAACAAAAACCTGTAAACACTGTCCGTTACGGAATTTGAATCGTTACGAAATTTCGTCTTTCTGTCGATTTTCTAATGGGGATAGTTTGACATCTTGAAATTTTCAATTACCACGATAAAAACTTATCTTTTCCTCAATCCAAGAGCAGCACACAGACAGTTTTACCATCCGAGTATGTCAGTTTCGCTCTCATAATGAAATGACATTAAAAGTTCTATCTATTTTTCAGACAAAAGAACGAAATGTAACAGAGTTCAATACTGATTTCTTTGGTGAGATTAGTCAAAACAAAATCTTGTTGAACGGCTGTTGGATAAAAATAGAGTTTATAGTTCTAGTCGGCAGGATATCTCGGAGTTTGCAATATGTTTCGTAAACGGTCGGTGGCGCACTTTTGATTTTACAAAGAGTTTTTCTTATTTTTGTGGGTTTAAACCTTCCCCAAGCGAGAGTGATCGATGCGTGGTCATGCCAATAGGGAGATACCCTTGGGGCCACAAGTCCTACCATACGGGAATTCCCTTGCATCCTGAATTCCTATGCTAGGTGGTACTCTTGGTTCTCCAGGTTCTATACTGGGGGTACCGATGGGTAGAGACCTACAGAGTACTCCGAAATCCGATTCTAACTGCCGCTCCATCGAAGTCGCAGTTAAAAGCGGGTTTACTGAAAATATTTTTTGGAGGCTGATCTGACTCCGATTCGACTCGGAAAATTTTTTCGAATTATCTCATCTCTGATGAAATTTTGCTATTTCATATAACAATAAGTTTACTTATATATGCAAACGAGAAAAAAAGATAACACTTACCTAACTCTTCAGTTTGACGAACAAAAAGAAAGAAAGATAACAGTTGGCACATATTTTAAGAACGAGTTGCAAGAGAAAACCCATGTTGATAACGTTTCGGCCGTATCTTTCGAAAGACCGACCTCATAAAAGCATAATTTTGTCAATGAGAATATATTTCAATTTTATCAGAAGTAGTACAATTCTCTTGAACATCAACTTTCAATTTCTTGGATATCGTACACGTCGGAAAAGTCTTAGTGATTCGTTTTATTTTCACTGAACAACAAATGTAAAAGAACTTCCAGATTAATCTGTTAATGATTCTTGGATTTTTCTTCACTCATTTGTTCCTCTATCGATTAGGGACTGCATTATTATTACTGGTAGTAAGTAATAGCATATAAGGTTATTAATTACTGTAGGTAATTAGAAATAATCTATGAAAGTAGCAAAAGCCAGAAACTAAAAGTGTTATCAAGTCATATAGTATTAAAACTAGTAACTCATAGAAGCAATGTTGTTATTAGTTTATTACTAGTAACAAAGTATATAGAATTATTACCAATTATTGAGTAATAATGATAAAAAATAATTGAGTAAAACCTCTACTAGCGAGCAGCTCTTCACAATGGAAACCTCAATATTATTAGCGTTTTTCACGAGTCCGAAAAGTCAATTGTTGCTGAAAATGGACGTCTCGAAGGTGAACACGTCTTTATTATGAACGTTTTTCAGTAGTCTCGATCATGCTCACTTTAGAGAGACTTCACTGTAGTAATGTAGCAACCTTATTATTGATTTCCACATGCTCTGAATTAAACAATACAATATATTTGAGATTTCCTTTTCTTCTATAAAAAAGGATTCGGAGTTTCTCAGAGCTGGAATCGGAGTCAAAAAGTAAAAACGTTTCGAAGTTGAAGTTGAAATCGAAGTCGTAAAGAAGGAATTTTTTGGTGTCGAAGTCAGAATCGGAATAAAAAAATTTGACTCCACCCGTCTCTACCCTTGGATTCGCAGGTACTACTATGGGGAGGTATCATTGGAACCACAAGATCTACTATAGAGGATACTCTTGGATCCTCAAGTACTATTATAGCGAGGTACGCTTGAACCCTCAATTCCTATACTAAGCGGAGGTACCCTTCAGTCTTCAAGTCCTACTATAGAGGGCATCCTTGGGTTCTTAGGTACTACTATAGGGGAACGTTTGAATCCTCAAGATCTTCTAGAGGGGATAGTCTTGGATCCCCATGTCCCAAATTAGAAGGTATTCTTGGATTCTCTAGTTGTATACTAGGCGGTACTAGGAATCTGATCTTACCGTTACCAGGAAGCTGGTAGTGAGATAGTTTCCTCGTTCTAGGATTACAGTGAGGACAGTAACTTGTCCGTTACCCGGTGATTGTAACGATTAAGTCTCTCGAACTTCTCTAACTATCGGTGTATCTTGAATTTCACATGGTCTATAATCTGAGAGAGGCGACTAGCCATGACCAGCAATCTGAGAAGGTACGCCTAGAGCCTCATGGAATCTGGTATACAGGTTCCTGAAGTCTTTAAAACAGTTTCGGAATAAGCGACCAATAGTTTTGAAGTGCTACTCGATAGAACAGGTGGATTTGCCGAGGTGATATCGGATTGGGTGCTGATAGTTTCTGAAGCGCTATCAGATAGAGAGCAGTGGAGTAACCTAACCTTTTCCCAACTAGCAAGTGTCTGAAAAAAGTTACTATTAGCTTGGGACATGATTGGGGACAAGTAGACATGTTAGCCGATCTTTTAATCGGCGGCGGCGGCGAAAAACGTTCAAAGTATCGGCGACGGCGACGGACAAATCACGCCGAGGAAGGCATCTTCGGCGGCGGCGGTGAAATTTTTCGAAAGTCATTTTACCTAGTCTTTTGTTGATTCCAACCTTTGTTACAAACATTACACTTTCTGTTTTCATAGAAACATATCACTATCTCCCTTTTCGCACATGGATCTCTTTTTATATTAAAAACCTTTCGCTATACTTCAATTTATTGTCATCAATTCAAGAAGTTGTTTCTGTATTAATGATGATGACAAGAGAGCACATCAGGATGCTCGACGAGTTGTTTGTCATAGCAAACCTTGCAATAAATACTCTTGTTATCAATCACTTCTTTCGTAACTGATGATGTAAGATGACCGAAATGTGACCACGCAAGAGATTGACTGGCCTTGAAAGAACGGGGTTTGACGTGAACATCTCGAACATAATGCGTCATTCTAGCGGATAGGTATGTATTTCTTCGCTTGTTAGATACAATACAATGATAGCAATAATGTTATTCGTGTGAAGGGAAGTGTAATGCGAAGCGTCTATTTATACCCTTTTGACCATATTGTTCTAACTCCAAACTTGATCGGCGGCGGCGGCGAAAAGTCGGCGGCTAACATGTCTAGGAACAAGATAAAGAAAACATCGACACCTACATTATTCATCGTAGGGATGATTTTTTGAGAAAATAACGAACTGTTCTAAAGGCTGGCGAGTCTATATCGACGTCAGGAAAGCGGAGACCGGGATTAGTATCTCAGACGCCTGCAGTCGATTTTCCCGATCGAAGAGATGGACACTTCGAGGAAATGGGGATTGGTCAGAAACTTTTGTATCATCGATTTGAAATTGTGACTTGTAAGCGTAACCTGATTTCGTTTATTACTCAGAAGTGAAGGATTTCACGTGTCGTCGTTTTCGTTGTTTTGTGGAAAATGTGGTTTTAGTGTTGAATAGGAAAACGATACTTATGTACTCTGAAGTTATAATTCGATTAAATTCTGTTATTATGGAAAGCTGTATTTTACTTGATCGGTTGTGATCAGACAACTGGTTGACTAGCGCGCAAATAGGTTCGACTCATGTGTGCCAGAGGAGCAATAATGGTGATGCCAACTTAGGATGCATGGACTTTTCGTGTCTCCTTTGTTGGTTGATATTTTCGAACTGTGGATGTGCACGAATTATTTAGATTTTCTTGTATTTATATCTGCGGAATGATTGAAAAATGGCATTTCTGAAAGGGGCTAAGTTTATGGGGATAAAATTTGAGGATATAATGGTAACCAGAGTAGTAGTATGAGAAAAGTACGATACCATACGAAACTTTTTTTGTAACGGAATCGAAACCTTTTTTTAACTTTTCGTAAAATCCCAAGATAGGTTCAAAATAATTGTCGAATCTTCACGAATATTTTTGGACTTTTTAAGTTTCGTGCTTCATAAGAAATCATTTTAAATTTTCGTAGAGATTACAAAACTATCTTTGGTTTCGTGCGGTACCTTATTTTTTTTTTAGTGTATCACTTGAAGACCCAAGGGTACCCCTAGTATGGGACTTGAAGGCCCAGGAGTACTCCCTAGTATACGGTTCGAGGACTCAATTGTACCTTCTATAGCAGAACTTTCGGAGCCAAGGATACCTTCCTACAGTAGGACTTGCGGACCCAAGGGTACCTTCATGTAGTAAAACTCTAGGACCTGAGAGTACTGCTCTTTACTAATAATTGAGAACTCAAGGGTACCCATTTAGTATAGGACTTAAGCACTTACGGGTACTCTCTTAGTGTAAGGCTTGAGGACCTAAATGTACCCCTCTATAATAGAAGACGAGGACTCGAAGGTACCCCGTTTGATATGACTTGTGGCCTCCAGGGTACCCTGTATATTAGTACATGAGGACCCAAGCGTAGCCTCTAGTATAGGACTTGAGAATCCAAAGATACATCCTTAGTATAAGATGTGAAAACGCAAGGGTATTCTCTATAGTAGAACTTGTGGCCTCAAGGATACCATTACCACCTACCGACAATTGTAACTTCCTACACGTACTCACCTCTAATATAAAGATTTTAAAAGATTTTGAAAGATTTCAACAGATTTTAGAGATTTTAAATGCTAAAATCTGCTTTTTCCCCCTTGGGATACTCCCATAGGATAGGCCTTGAAGACTTTTGCATACCTGTATAGGATAGATCTCGCGGATGCCTGTGCACTATCAACTGCTGTCATCGGTCCATCAGAGCATCCCTAGCGATAAGAGGGTGTGGGTGTGGGTGTGGGTGTAGATGTGGGTGTAGGTGTGGGTGTGGGTGTGGGTGTGAGTGTGGGTGTGGGTGTGGGTGTGGGTGTGGGTGTGGGTGTGGGTGTGGGTGTAGGTGTGGGTGTGGGTATAGAACAAAACTTGAACCACACCCACACTCACAACCACCCACACCCACACCCACATCTTCATAGTTTCCTAGTAAACCTTGTGGTTTCGTATAAAACTATAGTGCGAAAACATAGGGTTACTAGGAAACTATGGAGGTTTCGTATTTTCTTACGAAACCTTTTTTTCGCTTTACGGAACTTAAATAGGTTTCGTAGGAGATGGTTCGGACGGTGTGCCCGCGGGCCGATCCTTTTAAGGTTTCGTAGAGTTTAACAACCATTTTTTTAAGCATTTGAACGCATTTGGAAGCTTTTTGACACCTACGAAACCTTTTTGGAGGGTTCTGTAAAATACCTTTTTTTTACAGTGTAGCAAGTACGAAACTCTAAAAAGGATCCGAGCTTTGCAACGGATGCTTAGTCTTTTTAGGGTTTCGTAAGGGTTCTACGAAACCTTTAAAAAAGTTTCCTCGATCGTTGACCATTATTTTGAAGGTGACTTAGGTTTTTACGAAACCGTTTTAAGGGTTTCGATTTCGTTGCAAAAAAGGTTTGGTAATCATACCACTTTTTTCAGTGTAGGGAACCTAGCCTCTTCACCGAAACGTTGAGCCTTGCCCCTTCCTCTCACCCAACAATGTCTCTTTACCTGAACCATATTAAGAGCTCCCTCGCCGCTCTGAATTTGAGCAGCTGTACCTTACTACCGTCAAAATCCTGATCACACTGCTATACAGGAATCAAACTTCATTTTAGATTTTCAACTTTCCTGAACAGTAGTTAACATTTGTTTAAACCACTACAAATTTTTTCTACAATATATTTAAATAATGACCGAATCAGGAGAGACTGAAGATGATTTTTATCTTAAAATTAAACAAACACCTGAAAATCAAGATATAGACGAACAAAGAAAAGCAGCAACTGAACATTGTCAAAATGAATTTACTAAAGTGAAGGGAAAACAAGACGAAATAAAACGTGAAAATGATGATGTAACAACAAAAATTAATGAAAATGTAGATGAAAATAATACTTTGTTACAACAATTGAATGATCAGGTAGTTGAAATAGAACGATTAGAAAATGAACGAAATCAACTTATCAATCGACAATTACAAATCAATAAAAATATTGATCAACAACAAACATCAATTCAAGATCATCAAGTAAATATTGTTCAACAAGAAAAAGAATTGGAAAAAAATAATGAAATGAAAAATAAATTAGAAAAAGAGGAACAACAATTAAAGCAACAATTGGATGATATCAGACAAAAAGAAAATGAAAATATCAAAACCCAAAATTATTTACAACTGTCGTTAAATGCATTACAGCAACTGATTGAACAAACACGAGAAGAATATGATCGACAACAAGCTCAACTGGAGCAAGAACTATATGAGGTACAAGAATATGAACAAAGTTTGAATCGATTACGTGAAGAAATCGAACTAATGGAAAATGAAGTAAAAGAGATTGTCAAAGAAATTGAAAGATTAATGGACGAAAAACAAAAATTGGATTTGAAAATAAAAGATTTACAGAAACAACATGAACAATTACAAGCAGCTATTCAACAATTGGAGCGAGTATTGAAAGAAAAAGAAGCTGGAGTTGCAAACTTAGAAAAACAAATTGAACAATGTAAACAACATATTGATAAATTACAAAAACAATTGGAAACTTTACGAGAAGAAATAGAAAAATTAAATGAGAAAATAGAAGAAAGTCAGAATAAATATATGGAAGCAGAATCTCGTTTAAAAGAATTAGAAAGTGAAAAGAAAATGTTAGAAAATCAAAAACGTCAATTAGAAAGAGAATGGCAACAATTGGATGATCAACGAGCTGACTTAACACGACAATTGAATACTTTGCGTCAAAAGTTGACAACAACAGAGGATTCATTACGAAATACACAATATAAAATCAATAATTTAACAGAACAACTCTCTCGTGCACAAAGAGAATTAGAAGACTTGCGATCAGAAGAGGAACGTCTACAATCAGAGGCGTCACAAGCTGAAGCCCGTTGTGACGAATTAAAAGATCAAAAAGAGGACGCACAACGTGAGTTGCAACAAGCTGAAAGTGAAGCGAAAGAAGCTGAACAAAGATTAAAACAATTGCAATCACAAAAACGTGATGAAGATTCAAAATTAGCATCGCAACAACAAAAAGAAAATCAAGCAAAATTAAAAATGGATAATGCTCTAAATGAAGTACAGTCTGCTGAACAAGAAGTAAGAGTAGCTGAAGCAGAATTACGACATGCACAAAAAAGTCTAAATTGGTTTGTTGGTTTACTTGATTTCTTTTGTTATAACTCAAGATTACAGCAGCAACGAGAAGCAGCGATAAAGAGAGCTGAAAATAAATTAGACCAAGCGAAAACCAAATTAGAAACTAAAAAAACAGCGTATAATACTTCAAAAGAAAACTTTGCTGATGCACAAAGTAAACGAGTCGAATGTCAACAAAAATTATCACAAACAGTACAAGATTTAGCAGAACAAGAACGCGTAGCAGCAAGAACAAAATCTGGTGCGCTACAATGTAAATCACAGTATGATCAATTGACAGCAACATATCGAGAAGCAATCAAAGAGAAAAAGAATATTGATTCAAATTTACGTACAGTTACACAAAAATTACAACGTTCTGAGACACAAGTAAATACTTTAACCAATGATTTACAACGACACGAATCAGAAAAATCCACTTATGAACATCAACAACAAGATTTAAAATCGCAAATATCTGAGACGGAAACAACACTTCAACGACATGAACGACAAATGAAAGAACATCAAAAAGCCGTGGCGGACAATCAAGCCGAACTAACAAAAACAATAAATAATCATCAAATACAAATTACTACTGTCCAACATTTGAAGCAACAAACAGAAACACTAAAACATACTTTAGGTGAAAAACAAAATAGTGAAAAATCTAAACAACGTGAATGTATATATCAACAACAATTAATGGAAGCTGAAAAGAAAAATGTACAGGAGCTAAGAGATGATATATCTCAAAAGCAACAACAACTAGGTACAATACAACAAGAATTAGCAACAAAAACTGATGAACTAAATTCTACCACATCATTAATAAGACAAGCACAGGAACAAAAAAAAGCATTCGAAGAAGAACAGCAATCAAAACGACAGCAAATCAAAGAATATGATAAACTACATCGGGAAATGCGTACAAAAGTCCAACAACAAGCAAATAAAGTTGCAACAATGAAAGAAAATCTATCGAAATTAAATAATCGTGAACAGAAATTATTTGATGATATGAAACAAGTTGAAATAAAATTAGAAAGAAAAACCAAAGATGTGGAACAAAGTCAAAATCGAGTGAATGACATTACTGAAAATATCAATCAAATACGTCATCAAAAAGGTGAAGCGGAAAGTCAAATAGCCAATGCAAAGAGAGATCTTCAAAGTGTTGATGATAATTTAAAAGCCAATCGTGATTCACTGGGTCGTTGTGAAAAGAAATATGAAGATATAAAAAGTGATCTTTTGAAAAATAACGAAAAATTTCAAAACAATATACGTCAAAAATCGGATATTCAACAGAAAATTCAAGGATTTGAAAAAACAAAAGCAGATATTAAAATACATTTTTGTGAGATTAATACAAAATTGGAACAACAAACAGCGGAATTATACAAAAGACAATTAAAACGCGAAGGACGAATAAGGAATCCAGAAGATCCTATTCGGAATCCGCAGCAAAAAACAATGTCGAGAAACTATAACTAAGTTAATAAATCAAGTTCAAATGAATATACGCATGTATAATGACAATTTGAATACTAATTAAAGAGGTTTCCATAATGAAAGATTTTCCTATTAAAGAAAACATCTTGGAAAGGTAGACTTTGAGATATTCCCAGTGAGTTTTTGACCTAAAAAGAATGTTGAGCGATCATCCATAGTAAAAAAAAACTGAAATCTTATTTATGGAAAGCTCTTTATATTATCTGCGGATTTCTATTAAATAATCTGCTTCATTGCAATTCTTGCTTGGTTCTTAATTGATTTCATATTAAATGAGTTTTAACACTTTTTTCTGTTTGTTGATTCTTGGGAAGAAGAAGCATAGATAAGGTTGGTAAGACGTTTAGAACAGAGTTCTGAACTAATAGTATTTTTACACGCGCATTCAATCCAGACTTTGGTTTTTACTTCCATCCGAAATTGAACGATACTATCTCTGAGACATATCCGACTTTCGTTCTTGTTCAGTACAGCGTTATGACACTATTATGATCATCTCGCGTTTCCAGAAGACTATCCCATTATTTAATCGTTACTGTGGCTGGATATTCATATACTATAAATTTACCATTATCCAGTTTTCATTCAATTTTTCTCAAGTTTTGAAAGAAGGGTGAGAGTGTGAGTGGGGAATCTGGGCGGGGAGGGAGGGGGGAGAGGTGAATAAGGAAGAGAGAGAGTGAGTAATATTTTTATCTGCCACCCTTAATCAAACGCACATATTCAACTTCATCCATTCAGGTCCACACCCATAGCTATATTCTCACTTTCACTCATCCATACTCATTATAGCTCTAGCCCGAACCTGAAAAGACCAGTGGATTCGATAGCAACACAGATCTTGCTGTAAAACTTTAGTTTAGATCGATTCTTAAAAAGCTGTTGGTGACTTTAGAATTTCTACACTTTTATGAGCTTTAGAAGCTTTTCCTTGAAAAATATAGAAAAAAAAACAGTAGCCCAGATTGATAGATTGAAAATGAACTCTGAGTCACTTTTTTCCGATAGTGCTATTAGTCGGTAAGAAAAGTTTGTTTCATTGTCTGGTAAAATTGCTACTGTTATGCCGATCAAAGAAAACATATTCAATGGTCAACATTAGGCAGGCGTGAGAATGGACTAGTACAGCATAGCAGAATTCTTTTAGGCCACCCAGATCAAATTGATACAATCGTAGACGATCGTATACATAAAAATACAGTGATTTACAAACGAAAAACCGCTCGTTTACTACTGTCGTATATGCAAGTCATATACGGTCTCCATAAATTGCGACCCGGGTAGTTTCATTGATGAGACGGAGAAAATTAGTCACAGTTTTAATGATTATAGAGAAATAAAAGATAATTAGAACCATTTTTCTTAAAATATAAGAATGCAAGAAATTTTGACGTACACATACTTCACTCCATTTTTGTCGCGCAATTCCACTGAAAATGAATTTAAAGCTTTTATGAACAAAATCATTCGTTGATGGTTTCTCACTTATAGTGCGAATTTTCTATGTTAATATTAAACAGACATTTTCAACTCCAAATCAGGTGAGCTCCTGAGATGTATCCTTTTCAGGAAAAGTAATGAAACTATGCGTTGAATGACAAAAGTCAGGGTATAGTATTGTATCAATGGTAAAAACAACGTTTAAATAAATAAGTATTTTTCCTTTTAAGATTCTTGCAAGCATTTTCCAGTGATGGATGATGATGACTTTAGTCAATTTGCTGCGGGATTCGAAAAATATTCATTTCCTTCTTCAATGGTGAACAATAGTTTGAAAACCACTTCATCAATACCTGATTTGAGTTGGATCTCACCATCGATCGTACCATTAACGACAACAAATAAAAACTCCTCAGTTCAACAACCACCAGAAGAAAAAATCATTCCGAATATCATTCTTAATATACGATTAAAATTCGAGTATGATGAATTAACAAAATTTGTTGAAGACTTAAAACAAAAGAATCCAAAGATAAAAGTCAATCAAAAAGAGTATTCTATATTTGAACTCTATACACTTTATACAACAAGTGAAGCAATTGATATGACTAATCAAAAAATTCGTAAAAATTATCGTCCAAGTTTATTTATCCGAAAACCAGATGCATTTGGTGCATGGAATTTTAGTTTTCTATTGGGTTTATTTGATCTTGATTATGGATGTCCCGATCAAGAAAAGTAATTTAATTCTCTCATGTTCATTATAAAAATAAAAACTGTTAGGGCAACTCCTGTGAGATTAAAATGTGAAACACAATGAGGCTGCTGACAGTTTAAATAAGAGAATATGCCAAGATGTGTTTCGGCTCTGATGTGTCACCCACTATTAGTTCACAACGACAGTAAAAGAAGGGCAACGCACAGGTATCTTACACTCATTAGTCTTTCGCGCTGATCCTGTAGCACATATCTCCGTTATACCAGTCATGGTATGTGGCGATGAAGAAGAAGAGGAGAGAAGTACAACTGTTTGTATGTGTCAAGGTTCATGATAGAGGACAGAATTGATATTTTGTCTGTCAGGTTCGGTGATAGATCGTTACGAAAGTACGTTCTACGATCTGCGAGGGACAGAGGTAAGACTTTGCTAGGATGCCTGTTATATCTATAGGAAAGGGAGTGATAGATTTTTTTTATCCCAGTATAATTCAACATTTCTTCTAGTTCATGTTTTCCAAAATGCATATGTGGTTTTTAATTCTATTATATAGTGACAACGAATTTCCACCTGTGTGGAAAACGACCTTTCAGACAAATGTGACAACAAACATAATCCATCTACCTAAACAGAATACAACAGAAAACGGTAAATCTGGCGAAAAGTCGAATGAATCTAAAGATCCACCAAATGAACCTGCAACTACACTATTGGACGTTCTGAAGGCTATTTGTCGTGAAAATAAATATGATGAAAATGATGCATACAAATGGTTAGGAAATTTGAAAGGTAAAACAAATTCGAACTTTTTTTTGTATACTTTTTCCAACGTTATTCAGATGAAAACATCAATACCATAGCTCATTTACGTACAATTGCTAATGATTCTTGGGAAAAATTGAGTAGATTAACACATGTTGTAAAACAATTGATACGTGATTATTTACAATTAAACACTGATTCAAATATATTTAATCAAGGTAGTATTGATCCATACAAAGAATCCAAAGCAACATTATTCGCTGATATTCATCGTGTTCGACGTTATTTTTATTATGTAACAAAACATTTAAATTTAACATCGTATTTGGATCGTCGTGCAGTTGATCTAGCGATTGATGAGGTACGTAAAACATATGATGATGATGGTAATGTTTTAATTAATATACAAAATTATCTTCGTACATTTTGTTTACAAAATAATATGGATAATGCAACTACATTACAAAAAAAACGTCTAGACTGGACCAATGAATTAGCTCAATTAAATGCTGATACACAAAAAATCCAAATAGAAGTTAATAAACATCAATCCAGCTTAGAGAATGCTAAAAAAGATTTTAAATATTCTCAAACACATTATCAAATTACCCTAGATGAAGAAAAAGATGTAAATGAAAAAGTCAATGCTAAATTAAATAAAGCTTATAATCCTGGCAATAATCTGAATTCAAATTGGATAAAAGATATTGAAGACGGAAATAATATGAAATATCTGTATGCAGAAAAAAAGAAAAATGCGGAAAAAACATTAGAAAAAAGTCGATTAGAATTAAAAAAACAAAGCGACATGGATTTGAATTCAAAAACAAAAATTCAAAATAATAAGTGTCAAATTGAAAGTTTACAAAATTTTTTAAAATTAGATTTAGAAGCAGAACATAAAAAATTGATCGTCAAGTATGGTCGCGGTATTCTGCTTTACGGGCCACCTGGCACAGGTAAAGAAACATGAAACATATTTATATCTAGAGTTTTTACGTATGCAAAGATGGAACCGATACTGGCGATCGGCTGGTAGATCAGCCGCAATCTGTAGATCACCCAATCTGATATATTCAAACTGGTTTCATCTCTAGTAGAAAGACTCGAGAAGATTCTTAAATTTGCATATCAGAGGTGTGAGTATATAGCAATTCTTCCATCACCCACATTCACATTCTTACGGCGTGTTAGCTTCACTTTTCAATTGCCACAGCGGCAAGTTTTCAGCTGTGATAGACATCTCTGATTGAACCGGAAAAGTTTCTAATCGGTCATTTTTTCTATATTAAGGAAAATCCGAGTTACTTAAACGGGTTGCTGTATATGCTGGAATAACAATGGTCACACAACCATTAGCAGCTGGTGAACTCAATCGTCCATATGTTGGTGAAACAGAAAAGTTATTAATCGATATCATGTATCGTGCGAATACTGTTCCCTATTTGATATGTGCTATGACAATCGATGAAATTGATGGTCTTGTACCAAAGCGTGATAATAATGCTCAACAATCCAAAGTCGATGGTATTAGTGTATTATTATCTCATATTGAAGGTGTTAAAAATATTCCAAATTTAATTGTATTTGGTGCAACAAATCGTCGTAACATGATGGATGAAGCCTTTCTTCGTCGTATGCAAGCCAAAGTGTTTGTTGGTCGACCATCACCAAAAATACGTGAAAAAATGTTACAACCATTAATAACTAAAGATTCAAAAGTGTTTACAGCAAAACGGATCGAATTCTTAGTTAAAATAACGACTAATTTTAGTGGCGCAGCGGTTGGTGCATTAAAATCTAGTATTATTGTTGAAATGGATAACGATCCAGATATTAAGGATTCTACACTATTAATATTAGCTGATGTGGCTGCACGTGAATTTAATATTTGGTTTGGTATAAGTACATTACCAGAAATTTATCGTTTAAATTCGCTTGCTTTCAGTTCTCCAGAACAGGGTAATTATTCATTAGCTTTACCGAACTTATCACCTACAGGACGAATCCTAATTGATTATCAAGATCGTAAATGTCTCATTGAACTACAAAATGATGCTACATTAGATAAAGATTTAGATAAACACGAAACATCTGTTCCATCATTATTAGCACGTTTTGTTCATGGTTGTTCGAGTCGAAATATTGATACAATTCAAATAATTGATTTAAATTTTTTGACAAAACAAAATGCATTTGATGAAAATCAAATATTTGAAATATTAACTACAACATTTTTAGAATGCAATGAATATAATCGTTCAATGCTTATATTTGATATTGATTCATTAATTATGTTGAGTATATCTGATTCAAATATGTCAAAGTCAAAATCAATATCAAATATACGCTTATATCAATTTATACGAGAAAAATGTAAAACAGCTATTGTTGAACAAAAACAAGATAAGGTAAAAGTAAGATCATCTTGAAGAGATTTTTTTGTTGGCATTGGCTGGACATTCATGAAGACTTTTCTATTGCATTTGTTCATACTCTCAGGTGATTCAAGCCGACCTGTAGATCCTACCGGAAACTATCGGATCCGATGTCGGATCACACCGGAATTCGTCGGGTTCCCAACTAAATCCGATCGGAACCCAACCGTATTTCACAGGATTCCTAACTAACGGATTCCGGACCGGATTACGTCGGAAAGGATCCGATCGGATCTTGTCGGAGCTGTTTGTCAGATAATGCCGTAACCACCAGGATCCTTTCACAGAGAAACGCCTGATAACGTAAGGCTCCGACAGAATACAGTCGGATTTCAACAGAAGTTGGCTGAATCTGTTTCGATTGATAAGGATTCAATCAACATTTCACACAGATTTCATTCTAGCATTCTCAAAATTTCCAAGGATTTCATCGAGATTTCTGAAGATTTCCCCAGGATTTCATCCAGATTTCTGAAGATTTCCTAAGGATTTCATCAAGATTTATAAAGATTTCTCAAGGATTGCGACGAGATTTCTGAAGATTTCACGAAGATTTCTCAAGGATTTCATCAACAATTCTAAAGATTTTCCAAAGATTGAATCGACATTTTGAACAGATTTCACCAGGATGTTATCAAAATTTCTAAAGATTGCATCAGGATGTCATCAAGAGTCTAAAGGATGTCAACTGTTTCAACTGGGATTATTCCTAGAATCCAACAATGTATATACTACGATCCTTCTTAAAATTGAACAATGCTTGTACTAAGATTGTTCCTAATATATAGAACTTAGTTATACAAAATGGCAGAATTCACTTGGTATATGAAAGTAGAGAGTTCCTTATATAGATCGATACCTGTAAAACAAAACGGTGAATGAAATCTGGACAAAATTGGATTTCCAGATTTTTGATTTTGTTGTTGGAAATTTGTAAAAAGAGAAACATCTTATTAGATGATTAGCTGATTGATCTGTCAGAATATATTCTAATTCATGAATCCAATTGCGTGGAAAACAGAATTGTAATAGGAAAACAAATCATTTGAAGTAAAATTAATCTGAGCAACACTTTGGAAATTCATTCGAAATATTAAAGTAGAGACTTCCTTATATAGATCGATATCTGTAAAACAAAACGGTGAATGAAATCTGCACGAAATTGGATTTCCAGATTTTTGATATGGCTTGTCGAGATTTGTAAAAAGAGGAATATCTAATCAATTCATTAGCTCATTGATCCGTCAGAATATATTCTTATGCAAGAATCCGATTGCGTGGAAAACAGAATTGTAATAGGAAAAAAAATCATTTGAAATAAAATTAATCTGAGCAACACTTTGGAAATTCATTCGAAATATTAAAGTAGAGACTTCCTTATATAGACCGATATCTGTAAAACAAAACGGTGAATGAAATCTGGACGAAATCGGATTTCCAGATTTTTGATTTTGCTGTTGGAAATTTGTAAAAAGAGGAATATCTAATCAATTCATTAGCTCATTGATCCGTCAGAATATATTCTTATGCAAGAATCCAATTGCGTGGAAAACATAATTGTATAAGGAAAACAAATCATTTGAAGTAAAATTAATCTAAGCAACACTTTGGAAATTTATTCAAAATATTAAAGTAGAGACTTCCTTATATAGATCGATATCTGTAAAACAAAACGGTGAATGAAATCTGGACGAAATCGGATTTCCAGATTTTTGATTTTGTTGTTGGGAATTTCTAAAAAGAGAAATATCTTATTAGATGATTAGCTGATTGATCTGTCAGAGTATATTCTAATTCATGAATCCGACTACGTGGAAAATAATACTGGATATCCAGAACGAGCAATCCGACAGTCGAATCTCGCCGGATCCTATCGGAAAAATTATCGAATTTTATCGAATCCGATGGCAATTCGTCGAAATCCTTGGTATCGGATTCCGACAGGAAGCTGTCAGATGTCGGAAGTGGCCGGAATCTTGTCGGAACTCTGAAAATCCGACACTTTCCAACTTCCGACAACTTCCGACTAATTTCCATCGGATCCGATGGTGTGAGATTGGCTTGGGTATTCTGCATTCTTATATAATCCGACAAGTTCCGATACCAGTGATTGATAGGTTTTATCATGGAATCCGGTGTCATTTGAAACCGCAAAATCCGGCCATTTCTGGACATCAGATTCCCCGGAATCCCACCGGAAGCGAACAGATCTTGAGATCGGATCTGACCAGTTCCGAATATATGAATCTAGTCGGAGCTCGATGAATCCGACCGGCGGATATCAAAGGAAAACAGTGGATAGCATCGGAATCCGACAAAAAGTAACCGACCGAATCCGATTAGCCGTATCTCAACGGATTTGAAACCTATCCGACAGGATCCGACATAGCTATTTCGACCTGGGAGCTAATCCACACGAATGCCAATTAAATAGGTCAATCGTCAATGTTAAGAGATGTTCACACTAGAGTGACGGGTATTTCACACAACTGAAACCTACAACACCAATAAGCTCGAACACTTTTATGATCCAAAGCTCTGTTCATCCTCACCATCCCTCTCAAACATAATTCTATGTGAATAATCATGGTCTTCTGATATTTTTTGCTTCAATACATTGTACAATTTTGTAAAATGTCATAAGTTTTGTCTGCCAAGCTGGAAGAGTATGCTCGGATCATGAAAGCAGGAATGCGGTGTGTGCACCTCGCGACCGGTTTTCTCCGTTTTTGGAAAGACGTTTGCGTGAGTGTTGCAGTCTTATCAAAGATCATCAGAGAATGTTATAGGTTATAGTTAAGTGAAAGGCATTTATTTCAGAAGAAAACGCAAGTATTTATACAATAGAGACAAACACACAAAAGGGAAAAAAACAATCACTTCTTAGTTTCTTCCCACTTATATAATAAGATAAATTGGGAAAAAAAAGATGATGTCAAATCCTTTTTCTGACTTGGAAAATAACAGTTCACATGAGACTGGAAAATAACTAGGTTAAAGAAAGATAAAGAGAACTAGTGAAAAAAGAAAAGAATAAGAACGAACAGAATAGAAAGAACGAAAGGAAAATACCATATGTGATACATATGGTCGATGAAGCGAACGAATATTTTATTCGTTCGCTTACAGTGAGTTCCTGTCGAAAATTTTCTAGAACCTACCAACGGAAGCATTGTTCGAGCAACCAACTGATATTTTCTTCATTACCTGATCGTCTCAGTTATCAACAGTCACTTCTTCTTCATACGCATCCTCTTAGTCGCAAGTTCAATAGTCTGAATCTTTCTGAAGGATTGAAATTATATTAGAGTACATAATCTTTATGTGTTGAAAATATTATATCACCCAGGATGAGCAATCCAACAGTTAGATTCCATTGAATCCTTTTCTATCAAAATGTTGGTTGCGTACTGACTAACGAATCTTTAGTGTTGGAATTCGAATGAATCCTGCAGGAGTCGAACAGAATCAAACTGTTGAATTTGGTCGGATTCCAATACTAGGAGCCCGTTAGTCTGTCCAGAAATCAGACTCTGATCGGATTTATTTACCGAGACAGTTTAAAAACTTTTTTGAACAAAATAATTGTTTTTCTAAGAATTTTTATATCAACATTTATTCTTCTTCTTGTTTACTTAGTCTCAAGCTGTTGAAAAATGGATTGTAATGATTGTCAAAGATCCATTATTGAAAAGTCTACTTATTGGTGATATCGAATTTAAAGAAACAAGTTTCCAATTAAAACAAAAACAAGATGAAGAAGAAAAACGTAAAGATGATGAAACCGTCAAAAAATGTCCAAAATGTTTACAAAATTATATACCTTCAAAATCCAATTATGGTGATTGTTGTTATCATGATGGATTTGTTTATGATTTAGATACACAACAACGATTAACTAGTGATCAAGCACGAGAAAAAGTACAACAAACGAAATTATTGAATAAAAAACAACCACAATCACAAGCATCTTCTGCTGTAAAACATGAAGTAAATTTAATATGGTCATGCTGTTTGGCATTAGCGGACGATCAAATGTTAGCATCAGGCTGTCAACGAGGTGTACATGGATTACCTGATGAATTAAAAAATTTAGATTTAACAAATAAAGATCCAATTTTAATTGTACAAGAACACTTTATGAAAAATCAAGTAGCATCGAAAAAACTAAACAATTTCCTACAAAATCAAAAGCAACAATTAATCATCAGGCCACCAATCTCATCTGCTGCTGGAAGCAAGTTAGTCGGTAATAATAATTCCCCAAATTTGAAACATTAACTTGTTATGTATAGTCGAAATTAGAGATTCTAATTTTGACTGTGACATATTTTTTATTTCTTTTTTGTCAACGATCATATCATATGCATATGATATGAGAAATCAATAAAAATACTCAAGATTGTTGGCCTGCTAATACGTTACAGTAACTAAATACGATGTTCTTTTTCCAAACAAATAACTCATTGAATGTTATATTTTCAAAAAGAACTATATGCTTTTGTGTTTAAGGTAAATATTAAAAAGTAGGATAAATAATGTATCAATATGATCTGAATGTTGGATACGAAGAGTGATATACATATTTTAGCATAAATGTTCTTGCAACAAGAACGCAGACACAAAATCGGTTTATTCTTTAAAAAAAACATTTGAAGAATAAGTGAATTATTTATGGTAGGGTGTGGGTGTGGGTGTGTGGGTG